AATTTGCTACACATTCATATGGTAAAAGGTCTCCAGCATGCATGCATGTATGTGTATAGCCCTGTGATTTTAATTGAATCATGTTACAAAACGAACCAACTGAAGTGCAATGTTCAATAAAGACAGAGAACCGTTAACCGCTCGTCTGAATTCATTTATTATGTATTTTGAAAAAACATGAGTGATGGTACAAAATGGTACAAATAAACGTGTGACAGACAAGAAAGTTTCAGAATCAAGGCAGATCAAGTGAAAAAAGGTGAAGGTTGATTTGATAAAGTTTACAAGTTAATAGAAGTTTAACTGTCATTATGACATTGATTACATTACGTTAGATATGCATGGACTGTGGGCAGCACCGTTGCCTTACAGCAAGAAGATCCCTGGTTTGAGCCAGGAGCCTTTCTGTGTTTGCATGGCCTTGCATAGAGTTTGTCAGTGTGGATTTCTCCATGCAGTTTAGTTGGGATTGGATATGCCAAAATTGTTGTAGAGTTTGTGTCAGGAAGTAACCTGGCCCTAGCCAGATGAATTTCGCTCCGCCTAGCTTCACTCACATCCATCTGGAACCTCTTCCATTGAGAGTGATTTCCCCAACCAACTTTATGGTTTAGCCAATCAGGACGCAGGGCGGGAGTTTCATAGATGTGACGTAGTGGAGAAGCGACCGTGAGACTGTTTTGATTCAGACAACAATGGCGGCTCGCATCGAGGAAACAAGCGTTAACATTGATGCTGTTAACATTGATTTCATCCGTGTTGTCCAATCTACCTAATATTGTTTCATTAAAAGAACATCAGAGAACGGCTCTTAAGGCTTTTGTTGGTGGAAACGATGTTATATAGATCAGTGCCTTCTCCCGACCGGATTCTTCAGCGTCACGGGTTGGCTTCGGTGTGAGTGGTTGAAATAGCACGTCGATAAAGATGACAGACAAGTGGCTTATCCAATCATATGCAAGGATTTTTGATAAGGCCCAGCCTTCTGAAACGCCATTTCAATGGATCGGTTTCAGATGGATGTGAGTGAAGCTAGGCGGAGCGAAATTCATCTGGCAAGGGCCAGGTTAGTCAGGAAGGGCATCCGACGTAAAACCTGTGCGAAATCATGTATGTGAAACGGACCCTGCAAATGAGCGGGTTTAACACTAAAAGAGAGAGAGTTAAAAAATATATATGTTTCAGACTCAAGCCCTCAGATGGCACTGCATGAGAAACTATAATGCTACTCTGTTAAATATAGCCACATTTGGGAGTATTTTGGGAAACCAACATGGAGTTCTCTAGCCTCGTGAGACCATCCTGATCTCGCGAGCTTTCAAGGTTTCACTCGCAGATCAGTCTGGATACTTTCCGTTAAAGAAAATTTGGGAGCAGTTCACCAAACAAACGTCCAATCAGCGTTGGCTTTGAGGCGGGTTGAGGTGTGACGCAACGAGAAGCGCGACAGTTCAGTCTAAAGAACATGTCGGCTTCAGCGGATGAAACTAGCATCAGCGTGGCTATCGAGCAAGTTTTATCGGAATTACAGAGTATTTCTTCACTGAAAGAAGAGCAAAACACTGCTCTGGAGGCTTTTCTCAGAGGAAAAGATACGCTCTGTTAGTAGTCATATGCTTCGTTGATCTGATTGGTTGATTTGGCCCGTCTATCACCAACATAGGCCAATCAGCTAACCAGTATTTTCGACCCTTACCAAAACTACTTCAACGGAAGGTTTCCAGATGGATATGCGGAGCAAATCCATCTGGCGGAGTCAGGTTAGGAGTTCTCAGACCCAAGAACAAAAGGGACCATGCAGACTTTGACAGGTGCAAAAGCAAACATCTGTCCTGGTACAGAGGTGCATCAGTGCAAACGGCAGGGGTGATTTGCTCGTGTGTGAAGGGATTATTATTGGGGTAATAATTTGGCTGGGGATCGAAATTCGCCACATCACCTGCACGTGATCCAGCGCTGTTGCGGTAATAACGGGACAACAGAGATTGGTCGATTACACTTGAATTACTTCGAAATGTTTAATTTGTACTTATAATATTTGTTAAACGTAAAGCTGAAATGTAGGCAATATGTATTAAAACTATATGAAATATGCAATGCTGTAAACAAAATTATCAAATTATCAAAGGAATTATCATGGAAATCAGTGTTTGTGTGGAGTTTTTAAATTAAGTTTAGAGGACTGAACTTAATCCGTAATCATTAATAACCCAACATGTGTTCTGTCTCCCTCACTGCCTTCCTACATGTGCTGCAGATAAACACCCTCAGAAACTGAACTATTACAGCATTTGACAACTAGAGGGATGTGTCATATATTCCTTCAGAATATTATGCTTGTGCAATGCTTTGCTTAGGCAACAGTTCACTGTTACTATTGTATTAGAATTATTGAAAATGTTCACCACAGAGAAAATGATGCACTTATAAATCACAAAGCAATTTAATTTACAATAGGAACCATAGTTTCAAACTTAAACTTGCTTTATACAGACTTTGAGCAGATGCAACAAGTATCATTATATCACAGTGAAAGTCAATTGTGAAGATCATGCAGCGCACAACAATATAAGATTTGACAGTAACAGAAAAAATATAAAATCATATAAAATGAAATGCCCCATAAAAAAACAATTTAAAAGAGATAAACAGCATAAATAAAGTAGCAACACAGATGATTTTGCTTTCTTGAAGTCACAAGGTCTTAAATGATTCAGTAACAGTTCAGTAGTAGGCCTACACATTATTTATGATAATAAATTCATACATCAGATTCATTTCATAACAAACAAATTCACAACTGTTGTAATTAAACTCAGTTTGTCTTTCACATACAAACGATCTTCCAAAAACCTACTTTACTTTAAAGAAGTCTTTTCCTTGGTTGCTAAAAAAATTTTTTTTAGCTGGTGTGAGGAGTCCGAGAATCTGACAGCATTTAGATACAGTATGACACAAAATGACTCAGATTGCATTATATTTTCATTCATGAGGTTAGCACCATGTTCTAATAATGTATATAAATGTGTGTGGAAATCGTACAGTAACATTCTATTGTCAAACAAACTAAAACCACCAAGCATCAGTGCTTGCTTGATCATTGATCAATATGGATATCGAAACAACAGGGCTTTAATTAATAAAATTATTCCCGTTGAAAAGCTATGAAAAAAATGTTGACTCTTAGTAGCTCTTTACCAAATACAAGTTGCCGGCTCAGGGTGCTGACCCTCCAAATGCTGTCCGGTTAGAGACAGAACGAAGACTCGCTTGTTTTCTGGGAATAACCCATTTATTGTCAGCACTCGTTTTAAACGGATAGATTTTCAGAGCGGTGTGTATGTATTCAGTACTTACTGCTGTGTGTGTGTGTGTGTGTGTGTGTGTGCGCGCACCTGAATGGGTGTGTGTTTGTGCATCTGGATGGGTGTGTGTGTGTGTGCACCTGGACGGGTGAAATGCAGTTCAGAAATTCCGAGAATGGGACACCATACTTTGCTGCACGTCACAACACTTTCTTTAGCGGGCGTCTCCGTGCTCCACTGAACTGATCTTCCATCTCTGTGAGGGTGGGGTAGACCATGTGGTTAATGTTTGCAGACAATGTTTGGCTCACGCACTGTGCTGTGTATGAGTGTTCCTGAAAGTACAAAGGGAGAGATTTAATAGAGAGGTTAGTGTGACGGCAAACAATAGCCTTTGTAACAAGTTCCTAGAGTAACAGGTATAAAAACTATACTGTTAAATATATGTATCATTAAGTAGAATGCACACAAAATTGTTCATTCACATATACCTGATGTAGCTGCCTGAATGATATTTGAGTGACTTTCCCTTTAAGTGGTGTGATGTCACGAGTAAACATAAGTTCATGTTCTGTCTCCACCTCTTCCTTTTCGCATTGTAACTGAATAGGAGAGAGAATGTTGAGGGCAATTCACTCAAAGAGGCTGTGGATGTTTTCCTTTATATCAGGGGAGGAATATAAGATCCAGCGAAACTGCCGCCTGCTGCCCTGCGTTTAACTCCATATATATAAAAAAAAAAAAACACACAACAACCAGAAACACTTGTACAAAATGTTTGAGATCAGTGTTTCTGATTAAGCTGCCCGAGGCTTTCTGAATATTTTTTGGCTGAATTTGATTTCCACCTTGTCTCTGAAATCGTCTCTGATGTAATATGAGATTGACGGTTTGCATTTTTGCGTGGCTTTATCAGATTTGTGCAATCGCACTGGAGCTGATTTACTGGAATGAAGGTGGAAATCAACTGAAACACAAATACAAGAGATAAGCATGAGATACGATCAGCAACACGCAGAAATGTTTCACTGTTTGAACTACAATAAATCATGATGTTTAACTATTAATCCAGCCAATAAAACAAAATGAGGCTTCTTAAAAAAAGTAAATAAGACAAAAGTAAAAGTAAATAAGACAGTGATTTGGATGGCAAGACTGGTATAATTTATCCCAAAAGTTTCTTGTTACATTTGACATTTCTTTTTTAAGCTGACAACAGATGACGGCACCAGTTCTGACAATAAAAAAGTCAAATACCTTTTGTTACCAATTTTATTATATATGCTGCAAATAATAGTGCAAACAGGATCTTACCTGATGTTCTGGATTCCTCCAGTTGTCTGTTTTAAAAACATTAAACAGATTTAAAATGTTTTTCCTGATAAAAACATGTTTATGTCTTTAAAGTGTCTTTTGCACAGTAAATCTCAATGTTTCACTTGTTATAAGCCTTTTGTAATACTTACCAAATTTTGTTTTACGAGAGACCTTGTTTCGACAGCAAGTCACAATAAACACAACCAGAAGCAGAACAGCAACACCAATTACTGCTATAACAAATGGAGACCAATCTTGTGCTGTAATGATAAAGAGATCAGCCAATCAGCAATCTGACCGTCATTTCTCACTGACATTTGCACCTGTCTGTTTTGGTTGTCAGTAATACTATAATATTAATAGATTGCTCAATTAACCTCAGGTAATTTGAGAACATGCTAATCTAAATATGGTTGTTGTTGTTACATTAAAAGACTTCAGATACTCACAACAGACAAAAAGATTGAATCTCCTGAATATGGTGCTCCGGTTGCCGGTGATATCGAGATGATAAAGTCCAGTGTGTTTAGTTCTGGTGTTCCTGATGGTCAGAGATCCGGTCTTGTAGTCCAGCTCCAGTTTGCCTCTGAATCTCCCATCAGCGCCATCAAATGTAGCGAAGATCCCATAGCTCATTTTTGCTATCACAGAGTCTCCATATTCACACCTCCATAGTATCACATCATCTCTGTGTATTTTAGAAACACCAGATTCTAGAGTGACAGAAGTTCCCTCCATCACCGACAGCCTGTTCCCTTCATCTGTCTCGACATAGTAAAACACAGGAGAACGTTCTCAGACAGAGATTAAGCATACAGTAAAACATTTACACATAAGGTATATGCCTTTTTACAAAGATCATCCATTTCTCGGAAAACAGCCGCATGTCAAAGACAGGCTCAAATATTCCAATAGCAATCAAGCTCAAGAGTAATACATCACACAATACATCCTCGGCATCAGCCAACCGCAAATAAGCCCATATTGAGGCATGTAACTAATCCACAATCCAGTGAGACAGTCTCTCTGAAATTCAATTGAGCATTCAATGTAAACCTGAAGCGAGTGTACAGGACACAACGGCGAAGCATAAGTGGCATCTGTAAACCATAACTAACTCCTTTGGGGTAAATGGCAGCCTAAAACACAATCATCCTGTCCAAACTCCAGACAAGCGGGGTTAATGTCTTAAATGAGATCACTCACAACGGAGTAGATCGAAGCGGCTCAAATGTTGGTTTAGAAAGTGCCTTTAGAACTAATGCCAAATCCCAGACAGGCATCATAGAAGGGTGAGGATGGTTTAGCTGCCTCGCTCCCTTCAAATCAATCTGTCACTTACTTATGCCTCCCAACAGAGCATTGGTTTACTTGGGCATGAAACGATGTGATAGCAGCCACATACACTTTATTGTCAAAAGTTTTGGGACGTCTGCCTTTATGAAATTTAATGACAACCAATTCTTAATCCACAGGGTTTAATATGGAGTTGGCCCACCCTTTGCAGCTATAACAGCTTAAACTCTTCTGGGAAGGCTTTCCACAAGGTTTAGGAGTGTGTTTTGGGGAATTTTTTACCATTCTTCTTAAAGCTGTTGTGGCAAAAATTCTGTTAAACATAATCACTGCGTAAGAGACACTCAGAGTCAAATTAATAAAAAGAGAAGTATTTATTCTTGCAAGAATAGGTTCAGTCTGACACACAGAAGTTACGCTGTGCATGAGAGTGACACGCAACAGGAAGAGATGAGACAGCCTTTATACTCTTTTCAAGGTTCCTCCTCACCAGCTGTACCTTTGACCCACTCAGATAAGGTCCCCACTGCTGTTTAGTTTCTACTTAAGGACACAAACTGGTACTGAAATAAACTGGCCAAAACTGACCGTCCCTAAGGTCAGTTGTCCTGTCCCATATGTTCCTGAAACGTCACGCACAAGCACGTACACGTATATTTTTTACTCATTGACTGGGTTCAATAGAAACACATGGCTCAGACTACCTAGTAATCTTCACTACTGATCAATGTAAGATTAAAATTTCCACAACAAAGCACATTTGTGAGGCCAGGCACTAATGTTGGAGGAGAAGGCCTGGCTCGCATTCTCCGCTCTAATTCATCCCAAAGGCATTCTATCGGGTTGAGGTCAGGACTCTATGCAGGCCATTTACGTTCCTCCACACCAAACGCACTCATCCATGTCTTTATTGACCTTGCTTTGTGCACTGGTGCACAGTCATGTTAGGACAGGAAGGGGTCATACCCAAACTGTTCCCACAAAGTTGAAGCATTAAGAGTTACTTTTACTGGAGCTGTATCAGCTCCAGAAACCACAGATGATTGGGCCATTTTGGCGCAACTAAAAGCAATGTCTCCCGAGACCTTCCTAGATATTGTTTAGCAAAAAATAACTAGGCTCTGACAGGACAAAACACATATTTGCCCTTTCTGGGCCAGCGGCTCTACAGTGCATCCCCTGCCAGGGTACAGCGTGTTAGGGAAAAACAAACAGGCAGGAGTTGTTAGGCAGAATTGTCTACTCTAAAGTCCTTCATCTCAATGAAGTTGAGCCATAGATGGTGGTTTAACACCACCAAGCGGCCCATGTTGCGACCCATGGCTTAGACTGTCCTCTTAGTATTCTGGAGAGCTAAGTCCATCACCGTATGTATCTCCTTGAATGTCTCTGGGTTTGGGCCCTCCTCATCCATATTCTTCAGTAGCTTGGCCTGCTACACATGCGATACTGCCATTGGGTGAAGAAGAGAATTTTCCTGTCTCAAAGAAGGCCTTCTCTGTTTTGTTTGTCTCATGGCTTGGAAGGAAACAATGCCTTGGACTTCCAGCCTCTAGCTGAAGGACAGAGGTGGGCCGCGAAGGCTTCCTCGGCGGGCGGCTGCTTGGCATAGGCCCAGCGGTCAGCTCCATAAACAGATGAGAGTAGCGGCCCATGCCAAATGGAGGGTGCATCATGACAGGAGGTTTCATCGTGCACCTCTGGAATGAAGGATACCTTTCTCTGGAGACTGCAGAAACCACTAATCCAGGCAGTTCTTTGATGGCTGCTTGAGAGCTGACCAGTCCAGTCTTAGCTCATCCACTGCTTTTGTGAGGATCCTCAGTAAATCAGCATTGGCAGGCTAACCGTTCGGCTCACTCACTTTGCTGTGGTAAGCGTCCTATTCCTGGAGTCTTTTTTCGAGGCAGTTTTTGACGTCATGTCATAGTCCGAGGCGCCAAATGAGATCAATTTGCGGCCTCCGTTGGAGGGGTGAAGAGTGTCCTCAGCGCAAGAGAGCGGAAACTCCACTGATCGCAACAAATGCGGGTGTTGGGCCAGCCTGAGATCGCTTAATGAGCCTCCTGAGCGTGGCTCCCGCTGGTTCCCGTCCCATGGCTCAATGACGGCGGGAGGAGGAAGCGAAGGAGCAGCAGAGACAGCGTTCATCACGATAGAGAGCCTCGTGAGCAGCATCCCAACAGTTACCACTTCACAATGCTGACAGCTGTGCCTGTCAAACGCCATCTCGTCGTGGTCCAGGCACAAGCTGCAAGCCTCGTATCCATTCGGGAGCCGAATCGTGACCCCGCACATGTTGCATTTCTTCAGGGGCCATCCTCTTCTCCACTGGAATGGATTGGTGAAGAGAGTGTTGTCCTTTTGAGAGCATAAATCTATGGTGAGAGTCAAATTCCAATAGCTTGAAGGAGAAAGAATCTGAGGCAATTATGTCCCTGTTTTATTGAATTTATTGAATGATTTTTACTTCTGCAAAACTGTGGCTGACATTTTTGCAGGGCTTTTATATCTGTAATATAAGCGGCAATGGATAATTCACCTCATATCATATTGAATGATAAAGGAAACGAGAATGTTCAAACCCTGAACAAACAAGTGTGTACCATGACAGCTATTGTACCAGCCCTGAAGTATTTTTCTTGAATGATATCAAAATAGTTTCATTTTCATTTATTTGATTATGTAGGTGTGTTGTTGCAAGTTTGAGACAGTAAGCTTGCCCATGAGCTCTTCTGATTGGCTGTGATTTGTGATTAATGTTGTCACGTATGGTGGACAGGAAAAAAAATGCTTATCACTGGAATCTTATCACATTGCATCTGGTGTTTAAAAAAACACAATTTGTCTGAACAGTGGAAAAAAGAAATTAAGCATCATGATTCAAACAAACTCAAACTCATAATAATCACATTCAAACCCTGATGACTGCACTAATGAATACTTAGACTTGAATATGCCTCTTCTGTGATGATTCATTTATTTTTATATTTTTTAAAGCATTAAGTGAAATTTTAGGGTGATACGGCTGTTCTCAGATCAAGAGTCACATTTAATAAAGAAAAAAGTGTGGTTTTCTCTCCTGAAAGCACTGAAAAATGGTATAAAACATTTCTGAGAACTTGGCAAGTGCGTTTACATTTAGATTTTGGAATTTGTTAATGACCCTGGAATGAAGTATTGATTCAAGCATTTCAATATTAAAATGACTCACCAATGATAGTAACTCTGAAAGTCTTGTGTGTGGTGTAACTGCTGCCGCTCTTGGTGATGTCGACTACATAAGGTCCAGCGGTGTTGGGTCTGATGTTAATAATGATGAGTGATCCATTCTGCTGGTTCAGATGCAGTCTGTCTTCAAATCTCCCATCAAGAACATTAGCAAAGATTTCAGCTGTTTGATTTTTTACTTGACCAATGAGTGTGTCATTAAACTTCCAGGTTATCTGATCATCTCTCTGTATTTCAGTAAGATCAGACGGTAGAATGACAGAGTCTCTCTCCAGTACCGGCACGATTGTCACTCCACCTGGCACCAGATTATTCACACCTAATGAACAGGAATATTTCTGTCAGAGAGCAAACACTTTCACCTTGAGTCTCAAACCTCACCTAAATACCTGACGTACTCACCACTGACATTGAATGTCTTGTTTGATATCCCTCTGTCGCCGTTGATCTCAAATGTATAAAGTCCAAAGTCTGTGATTCTAACTTTCCTGATCTTGAGATCTCCAGTCTGATTGTCTAGCTTCACTGTGTCATTGAATTTATCATTAACATATACCTTGTTCTCATTGGACTCACTACTGATTTCAGCAATAACGGCATCTCCAAAGCTCCACACAATCGCACCATCAGGTTTTTCAGTAACATCGGTATGTAGAGTGACAGAATCTCCGACAATCACCGATACAGACTCCACAACATCTGTCTCAGCAGCACCAGACACATCTGCAGAACACACAGAAACAGTTATTTACGTTGAATTTCACATTAAATATGAAAGCAGAAATATTTACGTTTATTTAATAAAAACAATATTTACGACAGATTTACTCCAATTAATGTCTCAAAGACAATTCAGAGAAATGAGATGCACTGGAAATGAGAGGAAATAGCTTTTGTAACATCATAAACTACTATTCTAAATTTTTTGATAGAAATTATTCAGTAAGAAATCATTAAATTGATCAAAACTGACAGTAAATACATTTATAATGTTACAAAAGCTTTCTATTTCACATTAATGTTGTTCTTTGAACTTTCTATTGATCAAAAGAATCTTGAAAAAAAAAACTTTTGTTTTTAACATTGATACAATGTTCTAAAAAACAAAATCTACAGTACACACTATTGCTGCTTTTTTTGGTACAAAATAAATGCAGCCTTGGTGAGCAGAAGAGAATTCGTTTAAACCATAAAAATAAATCTAAATGATCTAAAACTTTTAAATGGTAGTGTATAGAATTAAAAAAGGGAAGAAAAAAAACCTCCTTTAGAAGCCTTTAAGCTTCCTAAAACACGTTTCCACTTGCAACTTAAACTAAACACATTGGAGCGTTGCCAAAAAAATACTCTATTAAAAATCAAAAGTAAGCAAAAACACAACACTTACCGTTCACAACGAATGAGAAAAGAAAGATTATTTCAAGGCTCTTCATACTGGTGATAAGATTAGTCTGGGGACACGAGGCTCCAGCATGGATCCAGCAGCGCAATTTACAACGGAGCGCATCGAGGATCATAATTGTTTTCAGAAAGTCACGTGAAGGACATAAAAAGGATTATGTCGGCAGTTGAGTGTTTCATTAGGCGTGTTTAAACTTGACACCAAAAACCGGTACAGTCGAGTGTAGTGTACTTTGAATGCTTTATAAGCATCATGTTGTTGAATTTACCACTATTCATTTACTAAACCTACTTTTTGGCTATTTTTGTGTGGTTTGGTGTTCAGTGAGGAGGGATAAAGAAAAAACTTACATTCTTCTGCAAGAATGACATCAGATAGAAAATGTTCCTCCGTTTAGAAACATTTTCAGTTGATAATAATATATACATTATATTTCCAGGTAAATGTTATTCGAACGCTGTGGAGTAAATCTTCAGAGAAATCTAAATCTTAAACATTGTAGCCTATAAATGCTAAAACACATCTTTGTTAAAACAATATATAGGGTATTGAGATTTAGTTCAATTTTGAGTGGGGAGTAAGAGGTCTGAAAACACAGTAATATTAGTGAATATATACAGGAAAACATCCAAATGTTTATATGCAGAATTAAATGGACTAACCATTTCATTTAATGTGACAAATACACTTGGTAATTCGCCCTAAAATATTTTCAAATGTTTATATTCAGGCTAAATAAGTTGATACAATTCTGACTGGAATTTTTATTTTTTTTAAAATGTTTTAAGTCAACACACACAAAAAAGCATGTTTATATAAATAAATGTCAACATTATTTTTTTATATAATTATATTGAAGAACAGCTGTTAAGATTATTGCAAAATATTACATATAGCCTCTTTGTGTCTTTAAAATTATTTCATTTGCCATCTGATAAAAAACAAACAACATATATGTTGGCTAAATAGTAAGGAATTTCTCCTGTTGTTTTTAATTCCAGGTTATCAAATGACACTGAAATTAATAAAAAAAAACCACTATATTTCACCCAAATTGTTAGCATCCTAGACAGCAGGGGGCCAAAAGCTGTATTTCAAATTTTTTTAATAATTACTGGCAGTAATAGCACTGTTGAAAACGTTGCTATGATTGCTTTGGCAGTTCTATTAAATGCAAAATAATAATACATTTTTAAAAAAATCTCAGTGAGAAGCAACTGATGACAAGCCACGCCCATGTCCAAATACGACATCCAACCCGACCCAGAGCCGTTAAATATGACCCGACCCACATCCAAGTGTGACGTCAGAAGCCACGCCCATGTCCAAATATGACATCCAGCCCGACCCAGAGCCGTTAAATATGACCCGACCCACATCCAAGTGTGACGTCAGAAGCCACGCCCATGTCCAAATACGACATCCAGCCCGACCCAGAGCCGTTAAACATGACCCGACCCACATCCAAGTGTGACGTCAAAAGCCACGCCCATGTCCAAATACGACTGCAGCCGATTCTTAAAGGGATCCTATTATTCTTTTTCAATTTTAATTAGTATGTAATTTTGCTGTTTGAGAATAAAAAAGGGCTGGACTACAATGCATTTTTCCCGGAGAAGACTGTGTTGTCCCCATGTCAAAGAGACGTCGTTTTGTCCGCCCTGTTTCCAAAACCCGTTTGTTTGACCTTGCAGACAAACTTAGAGTGGTTCAAATTTATTTTAAACACTGTTACTGAACATTATAAACCCAACGTTTATCTGTGTGCTGTACATTTGACAGAGAACAGCTTCTTCCAGAACCTAAGAGAGTATACGCTCCTGAAATGGAGCAGTTCCCACTTTGTCGAGATAATCGGTTGTTTGTGGATCACTTTAAATATTACAACTCCCTTGGAGTCTCTTTTAAGATGTTTTAAGTCGGTGACTTTGAAACTATGAATGGCTGAGTCAGTGTGTAAAAGGTAATTCCGCCCACATAATGGTGTAGTTACAACATCTACAGTATAAGCAAGGGTGAACAGACCATATAAACCAGTCAAACCTTGACCCCTGATTTAGATCACGTGTCAAACTTCGCTCCTGGAGGGCCACTGTCCTGTATAGTGTAGCTCTGACCAGCCCCAAAACTCCTGCCTGGATGTTTCTAGTAATCCTCCAGACCTTGATAAGATGGTTCAGGTGTGTTTAATCAGGGTTGGAGCTAAACTCTGCGTTCATGTTTTTTTTTTTTTTTTTTTTTTTTTTTATTATTACAAGGACAATGCATATTAACATGACAAGTCAAAATATGCCAGAGTTAGCCAAAAGGCTAGTTTTCATCTGCAGTCCTAGGCCAGATGTACAATAGGCAACCTAAAAATACAATGTAATACAACAATTTAATTAAAACATAACAAAATACAGCAAACCATACAATTTCCAAAACCCAAAAAAATTTCAATGTTGACATATTTGCATCCTAAAAAGCCAAGTTTTAAAAGTAGAACGAAATTCATTATAACTATTTAATTCTCTAACTAATGTTGGGATCTCATTCCATTCTTTTGAGGCTTTAATGGAGAAGGCAGACTGGCTAAAAGCGGTTTTCCTGAAATTAATAACACAGTCCCTTCTAAGTGAACCTCTAGTGAGACGACTGTTATCCGATCTTAAACTCAGAAACTCACTAAGAGGTGGTGGGGCCAGGCCATTAAGAATTTTATAAGCTAAACAGCCATTTGAAAACTTAACAAAGTTTTCCCAACTCAACAATTTATATTTAGATCAAATTTTACAATGATGAAAATGACGTGGTTTCTTATCAAAACATTTTAGCGTTTGTTTATATAAAGTCTGTATTGGTAGCAAGGTGGAGTGGTTAGCCTGAGACCAAGTAGTGAGACAATAATTCAAATGTGAGAATATCATAGAGTGCATAAACATTTTGGCAGCTTGGGTAGACATTGAATTCCTGATATATCGAAAATTAGATAAATTGTATTTTATTTTCTTGACAGTTTTTGAAATGTGAGAATTAAACTTAAGTTTGGAGTCAATGATAATACCAAGATATTTAAATTCTGAAACAATTTCAATTTTTTCACCGGTAATAAATATGTCCGGATCAACTGCAGAGTTGGTGGTTTTACTAAAAAACATACCCACGGTTTTGGAGAGATTTAACTGAAGGCTACTGTGGTTTAACCATTCATTAATTTTAACCATAGCATTTGTAAGTTTGGCTGCCACAGCTGCTTTTGATGTTCCATGTATGTATAAAACAGTGTCGTCTGCATACATTTGAACTCTCACTTCTGGGCACGCACGTGGCAAGTCGTTAATATACATGTAAAACAAAAGGGGGCCCAATATAGACCCTTGGGGCACTCCAGTGGACAACTGAAGAGGTTCAGATTGAAAGCTGCCAATACGTACAGTTTGAGATCGTTGAGAAAGATAAGATTCTACCCACTTAAGAGCATTATTTGAAAAATTAAAATGTGATAGTTTAGACAGTAAAATATTGTGATTAACAGTTTCAAAGGCTTTCCTAAGATCTAAAAAAATAGCTCCAAAAACTTGTGCCTATCAAGCAATGATTTAATATTTTCGACAAAAAAACAGTTCGCTGTCTCAGTGGAGTAATTTGACCTAAATCCAAATTGTAATGGATGAAGGGAACATACCGAGTTATTCAAGTGATCCCTAATCTGTTGAGACACCCATTTTTCTAAAACCTTAGATATTACTGGCAGAATGCTAATAGGTCTATAGTTGGAAATAATTTGTCTGTCTCCTGATTTAAATAAAGGGGAAACAATAGCTAATTTCCAAGCATTTGGGAATTCCCCCACAGAGATCGATTGATTTATAATTTTTGTGATCGGGATAATCAATGACGAACCTAATTCTTTCAACATTGTATTATCCATACCAAAGACATCTTTCACTTTAGAAATATTAAGTGAACTGATTAAAGATTCTATATTACTTTCAGTAGCGCTGGAAAACACAAGGCTGTGCTCTGACGACAAGATAGGGCATTTACTAATATCTATGTGTGAGAAACCCTGTGCAATAGATGCCACAGAGTCTACAAAATAGTTGTTAAAAGCTGTAGCAACCACGATTGGATCAGAAATACTTTTCCCATTTAACATAAGATCAACAGGTTTTTTGTCTTTATGTTCCTGCCCCAGCAATTTATTTAATTGATCCCAAATCAATTTTGAATTGCCCCCTGCATTGTTTATAATAGTCAGAAAAAAATCAGCCCTTGACTTTCTTAACTGAGATGTAACTTTATTTCTCAACATTGCAAAACGGTGTTTATCAGTACT